TATGTGTGCCACAGTCGGTTAAGCATTTTGGAAAATGCAGAGACATCTCAAATTCTAGTGGAGAAGTGTTTACATGGTATTTGAGAACAAGCAAAAAAAGAGATAATAGAATGTCAATGTGTAATTAAGAGCCCAAAGTTTGGTCAAAATAGCTTTTTGTGTGTGTTGGAGTCTCACTCTGTTGCTCAGTCTGGAGTGCAGTGGCATGCTCAAGGCCACTGCAGCCTTGACCTGCTGGGCTCAGGAGATCCTTCCACCTCAGCCTTCCAAGTAGCTGGAACCATAGGCATGCACCACCACGCCTGGCTAATTTTTTATTTATTGTAGAGATGAAGTCTTGCCATTTTCTCAGGCTGGTCTCAGTCCCCTGAGTTCAGGCAGTCCTTTCGTCTCTGACTCCCGAAGTGCTGGGATTACAGGCGTGAGCCACCGTGCCCAGCTAAGATAGTTCTTTCCTGAGAAGTTTAGAAAGAAAAAGTGTGATATGGGAGGTTAAAGTTGATCAAGTCTTGGAGAATAAATATATTTGAGTGAGCAGAAACGAGAGGTTATTTCAAGTTGGTGAACACCTTGAGCTCAGATATAGAAACAAGAATGATTAAAGCACATTCAGTTAGGACTGTTTTTGTGACACATGAAGAAAACCCAAGCCAAACTAGCTTAGGCAAAGCAGAAATTCATTATTTCGCATAACAATGAAGGGTCCACAGGTTGGGTCTGGCTTCAGCACTCCACCAAGACCTGGTTTCTTTCCATCCTTCAACCTTGCCTCCCTGCATTGGCTTTAGTCTTGGACTTCACATGGTCCCATGATAGGAGAAGCAGCTCCAGACTTGCCAGCCTCTCAAAATCGGGATTCATTGTAAATGTGAACCTAATTGTGTCCTGTTGGCAGGGTGGGATTCCCATCCTGAACCATGCATGGTTATTGGGAAATGCAATAAGTTCAGGCTTACTTCTAGGACATAAGCCCACACCCACCCCACTCCTAGAGATGGGGATAGGGTCACCTTCAGTAGAGTCACAGAGTATGGGAGTAGGGTGGTGTCCAGAGGGAAATTAAGGTATGACTGCTAACCACAGGCAGATGCTATGCTAGAAAATCAAGTGCCCAATAGAGCAAGACAATGAGTGTACTGATGTCAAGGTCATGCTGAGTAATAACAGGAACTAGACACTGGAAGTTTTTATTGTAAGTACATTGCAAAGGCTAGGACAAGGAATCGAGCTTTATGAGGAGTTGTAAATAAATCGTACTTTGTGGAAATTGACCTGTCAGCTGTGTGCAGGATGGACCGGGGGTTGGGTGCCCCAGAGAGAAATAGGCGACCTCTGTTGTACTTTCCCATATTTCAAAAGCCACAAAGTTTGTAGAGTATCCATCGTGTGCTGTGAACTGTGGGGAAACACAGAAAAGCTGTCCCAGACTTGATCTTGGCCCTCCAAAGTGTCTGCAGTATGGCACGGAAAAGAGCTAATGAGAGCCAATCATGGTATAGGCAGGGTGCACAGTGGATGATAGGAACAGGGAAGGAAGAAGTCCCTGAATAGCTTCTAGAAGCAGCATGAGCAGGGACCTAGGGAGGAGAGACCTATGGACAGTGATGCCTTCTGGAGCATCTCTGAGAGCAAGTCAGTTGGGAGTCCTCAGTGTTGCAGTCTTTGAGACTATTACAAGGACATGGGTGGGTACAAAACTGCATCTTACCTGTCGTCAGACTCAGATCTTCCTAGAAGTTGACAAGCCCCTAAATTTATGATGGGATTCGACACACAGTTGATCCTGTTCTTTGTTCATGAGCGAAGTCTCTCTGACCGTCAGTGTTGGAAAGCCTTCATTTTTTGGCCTTTGGTGCTATCTGTGACCGTTATCTTCTCCCAGCTCACTCTGGGAAGGAACAGAGAGGGGTGAGCTACTGGAGTGCAGTGACTCCAACTCACTCTGTCTCAGTAGACTTCAGAGTCAATAAAAAGAAACTACTTGGGCCTTGTACAGGAGAATTGAGCTCTGTTCCTTGTTAGCCATGCAGTATGGGCAAGTCTCACCATAGGCCTGAACTTCAGCTTCTCTCCCTGTAAAGACAGTGTATTGGACAAAAATGCATTATAAATTCACTTTCAACTCGGCTGGGTACAATGTCTTACCCCTGTGATCCTAGCACTTTGGGAGGCCAAGGTGGGAGGATTGCTTGAGGCCAAAAGTTCAAGACTAGCCCAGGCAACATAGTGAGACCTCGCTTCTACAAGAAATCAAAAAAATTTGCTGGGTTTGGTGGTGCATGCCTGAAAGCACCCCTCTACCTGGGAGGCTGAGTGGAAGGCTCACCTGAGCACAGGAGGTTGAGGCTACAGTGAGTTGTGATCATGGTACTGCATTCCAGCTTAGGTGACAGTGAGAGCCCAACTCAAAAAAAATATCTCTTTCAACTCTAAGAGTCTGTAAATCCAGTAAAGACAACTACCAAGCCCTTGTTCCATGACACGTGTTCATGACCATGATATGTTTCTAAGAATAAGTGTTAGGAGAATACTGAGGAACCATCACCTGAAGGTTCAGGAGCATTTGAGCCCCAGGGCTCTTCTACCAAGGTGAACATTTAAAAAGCTATTAACTAGGAAAATCAGCAGGAGTGGCCAGAACTGCCCTCTTCCACAGAGGCAGGGGAAGGGCTCTCTAGGCAGAAGGACAAGTGAGGAAGAGGACATGACTGTTATAAGGACTGGCAGAAATGAAGGTGATGATGAGGATAAAGGGACCATCCAAGTATGGGCTCAGCATTAAGTGACACCAGTTTCTGCATAAACTGGATTGTGGTATTCGTGAAGGAATGGTGTATTTTAGTGGTGGCAGCCAAGTGTGTGACTTGGAGTAATTGACTAGATTATGGGGTAACAAGGTAGGGATCAAGATGGTGCCCATGAAAGTAAGAAACAGAGGAGAGAGGACGCTGGGTTAAGTTCTGACGTGGGCTTTGTTTGAATTGCTTTCCTCTCACCTATAGTTTCTTAAATGTAAAACAATATCTTATATCCAATTATAAAGAAGAAAAGAACACCGTACAATTCTGGGCATCTTGGCTGTTTAGAAAGCATTTTGCACTTCCATTTTTGTGCGCAGTAGCTCTGTAAGAGTGGGAAGGAATTTTTCCCACCCCTTATGTAACAGAGAGACCTGAGTGAATGGTTCACACAGCCAGCAATGGACAGAGCAGGACACAGAATCCCTGACCACAAGCACGTGTGCTTTTCTTTCCACATCTGACTCCCTCTGTTCACCCATCAGAACTCAGTTCAAGGCCAGTGACTTTCTTCTTTCTCAAGAAGGTAGAAATGGAAAGATTATTTTATGACCAAGAGGAAAGTTTATGTTACTCTTGGATTAACTACAGAATGCTTTTTATGGAAGGCAGTCTGAATAGATGTCTGTTTTTTTACAAACATTCAGCTCCACACAAACAGAACATTTTCAGTTTGCTTTGAAAGCCAAATACCATGTGTTGTAACTTTACAATGTTTTAAATAAAGTTAGGAATTTGGGTTTACGATCCTGAAAATATAAAATCAATGGGTATAAGACCAGGAACTATAGAGGGGTCCTTAAAAATCCAACAAGTTGAAGAATCAAAGGAGACATTTCAACAAACCAGTTATTGAATCATTGTATTAACAATTTAATGAAACAAGAAGTGAAGTATTGAAGCTTATTGGTTTTAACACTGTTACTCGGTGTGTGGATAGTTTTTAAAGTTGAGCAGTTCAGCCTAACGAAGCCATTTACGATACTTGTTCTACTCACGGCCTCTTTCTCTTTATTACTTCATCTTGGAACTTTGATTGGCCTATTCTAGATCTAATTTAATGCTGTACTGTAATTGTATGGGGGGCTTAATTTTCACTTTGTTCTGAGAGCCAGGCTGGCTATAAATTTATCTCTGTTCTTTGAAGACGCTAACTAAATTTTGAAGAGGAAAAATGGTGGCATATATCCCTGTAGAGAAAAAGCAATCTCTTAAAAGCAGAATAACCTCCAGACTACATCCATTTAAAGAGGGATTTTCAAACAAAGACTCCTTCAACTTTTAGATGTATTCTCTATTTTTCTTCAGCCCTTGTACCGTCTCTTCTGCTTTCCATGTAAGGCTTCTCTGTAATGACCCCATTCCTCCCCATGCCTGTTAAATCGGTGATGAAGTCATGCTGTTTCCCATTCAGATGTCATAATAGCTTCTTGAGCTATGGGTAGACAGCACATCCAGGGGATCATCTGAGGTCCTTGTAAGAAAATGAGGCATAGAGACCAGGAGTACCTATGGCATTGAATCTCAGTTTCATAAATTACCACATACTATGATGAAAATGAACTTTGCAAAGTGAAATCCACAGGAAGGTTTCTGTTTGGTTTAATTGCATTCAAAGCAGAGTTCAATTTCAGGCATTGGTTTCATTGCAATTAAACCAATCCTTCCCAGAGATTCAACCCACTCCCTCATCAACAGATAATAAGATCATTTAGAGTGAGGAGATGCTCAAGTCAGGATGAGCTTGTGGCTCTGTTTCCACATCTGACAATTTCATCGCCTTTTATCATTATTATGCAGCTACCCTGAGCTGCATGTCACTCGACGTGGCACAAAAGGCATTCCTGCATGTCACACACAAACATAGGACCCACGCACCTACATACCAAGGGGGTCTCTGGCTCGCTAGGACCCACCAGAGGTAGACAGATGTGGAGCCAGCAGAAGTTTGGGTAGGGCTGGAGAGAGGACATCATCCATCCTGCCTGTGCCTGCTGATGTCATGACCAGGTTCCCTAAAGATCTGGGTTTGAGAGGGACAGAGAGCTCCCCCCAAGAATGGTGATCGTTGGCAACAAAAGTGAGCCGTGATGGACGGGTGAACTTAGCCTATTTTTCTGACTTTGGAAAGTTCTAGAATGAGTTTGTGCTGCCACGTACCTCGGCCTAATTGTCCTCTTTCTCATTTTATGCCCCTGCTAGACCACCGCTCTTGATAAGGAGAGGCAGGTTTTCCGACGAAGACGCAACCAGGATGTGAGGAGCAGGTCCAAGGCACAGCCCACTCCCCCGGAACTCAACTCGGAATCGGAAGACTATTCCCCAAGCTCTTCCGAGACTGTTCGCTCCCCCAACTCGCCGTTTTAATAAGACCCTTTTACTCAAAGTCCTAGCTTAACCCTTTGAGACTCTGAGATGTTTTCCCCCCAAAATGTATGTAAAGCAGTTTCATCTGATCTATCTAGCGCTCAATGCTTGAATGACAGAATGGAAAGCGTGTTTTCAGGTATCTCTGTAGCGATTTCCCTCTACCCAATGAGATAACACGTGGTGTTCGTGAAGATGGTGATTTGCTGCTAATAGAGTCCTCAAAGGGTTAAGGCTAATTTGCAATTTTTTTAAACATAGAAGCAACGAATGTTTTCATCAGTCAAGCTAGGATCTTCAGTATGTAATATAGCACATGTTAACCCTCTGAGTGCATAGAATTGTATTGAGAACCCGTTGGAGACTTTTTCAGGCCTTTGGATGTGTCTGCATGTTTCTTGATTTTGCTGCAGATCAAGGGGTGTCATTAGCTGCTGAAATGTCCAGGCAAGAAAGACATCTAGAACGATACTTTGCTTGCCCATTCCTGTGGGTTTAGAATGTAGCAGGCTTATAACTTCAGCAAACACACACCTCTTTCTTTTCACAATCCTATTAAGAAAGAGAATTTTTTTTTTCGTTAGAGATGTGACTCTCAGCGCAGTGAGTCCTGAATCCCAGGTGGAGGGAATTGGGTTTGTGGCAAACAGCTTGACTCAAGAAATAGGTGGTGTCCCCTACAAATAGTCTCCATATAAAGATGTACCAATGATGCCCCAGAAATGCTGCTTTCACATCAGCTGCTGCTAGTGCCAGCATAGACCCTCAGGGAGTCACCAAGGCTTGTCTTGTGCTTGAGGAGTGAGGGTCTGTCTGCTCAGTGTCAGACATCTACAGAAAAGCAAACAACTGGTAGAAAAGAGCAATACATTGTCCGGTGCTCTACAGGGCTGGAATTTCCAACAGAAAGAGGAAGCAAGATCCCAGACTTTTTCTCACCAACTTCTTCACGCACTGTGGTCATCAGTGTACAATCCATATACAGTGTGAATTTATGCATAGGAGAGCTGGGACGCTAGGGAACCGAGGAAAATACTTCGCAAGGGGACTAAAGAGAAAGCACATGAACACACAGTGCAGAATGTTCTACCAGTGGGCTGTGAGGGAATAGACCACTGGCAACACAATTCCATGTGCACGTGTAGGTTACCTAGCTAGTCTCCCAGGAAGAACAAGATTAAAGACTTTAATGATACCCCTGAGGAAGTTTTGTTCCCTAAGATGATTGCTGTATACCACCGTTTTTAGCTTTCCAAGGAGTCTTTTTTTTTTTTCTTTAGGACAAGTCCTGGCTGAGACCTATATTTGCACTCCTGTTACCAAATCTATCTCCCTCTCCCAGTGTCTTCAGGCCTGAGTTTCTTCTGGAATGTACCACATTTCAGAATGGGGCCTGGCTTCTGTACGTGACTACAGTACTCAGAGAGGACCATCCCAGGGCGTCTTAGAGGCAGGGGCCCAACTTACCTGTGCTCCTAAGATTTGCTCAGCTCTGGGACCCAGGAGCTAGCCAAGGAATGATGTCTCATGAAATTTGCATCTTGATGGCTGAACGGTCCTCAGTCCCTCTGGTCTGAAAATACTTTGCTATCTGAGAGTCTTGAAATTTCCGAATGACCTTTATTTCTATATAGTCAGTTTTTAAATTTTCAAGTGCACATGATTCTTCAATTGCTGCTTTTTTACCCTTCAACCCTTAAACTATGGTCTACGTTAATAACAGATTTTTAAAATCACAATGTGTTCTTACCTTTACAACAAAGCCTCTCAAATGTTTGGCTCTTCCACATGTAGATTTATCTCTGTGGTCTGTGTTGTCCTGACATGTAAACAGTTTATCTTTTATGGAGAATTTTTTTTTCTCCCTTTTAGAGCATCCTGAAGTGATAACACACAAAATCCCCAAGTAGCATAATTCAGTAAATTAGTTGAGTTGTTTTTTAAGGGGAGCAGGGGATCGGGGCACAGAACACTGGGAAGGGCATGGGTGGGTATGTAGGTGGATTCCATAGTGGTAAAGGACACTGAACCAGTCAAAAAGTACTGCTTTCTCTAGAACTGTAAAGCAAAGCACAATTCCAAAGCTACGAGATAGCTCTCCAGCTTGGCCTCAGCTCTAAATGCGTGAAGAATCCCATGGGCAGAGACCCACCTGCAGTAGGCGGTCATTTTCCTTCCTCTGAATTCCTGTTTTTTCCTTTGGGTATTAAATGTATTGCTTTTGCATCTAGTGTACTGAACTCACAGTGCACGACTCAGGCCTTTTCCCATCGATGTCTAAGGGGACTCTGGACCACCCTGTGAAGCTGGGAAGTCTTTCTCAGCACACCGCAGAGCAGCTCAGAAGAATGCAGGGCCCATTCAGCATGGGAATCCCAGCGCATCCCTGTAGATTTCCAGTGATCTAGGCTGAATAAACAGTGGAATGTGACCGGTCAAGTAGAAATATCGAGGAATCAGTTGGAATGCCATGTTTCCAACATTAAGCTACCAAGATCCTGAATGTCAGAGTTGTAGTCAGAGGGTTAACAGGCAAGCACAAGGCATGCTGATGACATTGGTATATCCAGATTGCTTTGCTTTTAGCCAGTACTTTCTAATTTTTTTTCTCGACATTCTTGGGATAGTTCAAGTTTGAAATAATCAAGTGGTGGTGTTCTTTAAGGAATTTCTATAACCAAATTGATCTTATTTTTTATTTCACTAATCATAGAACAAATATGTACCATGATTGCCGTGTAGCTCTGTAATTATCAATTTAATCATCACCACAAGTGTTTTCATATTTTTTTCCTCGAGTATTTAATATAGCTCTAATGGTGGTGGCCTGGTGTTGGGGACAGTCTTTCCTTTACCAACACATGACTGACCATACGGTATTTTCAAGGGAACTTTAAGATTCATCTTTTTCAGTTTGATAGTAGACTAGTTAAGGAAGAACTCCTCCATTATTTGCATCGTGTAAATCATCTCTGTAGATATGTGTTCATATCAACGGACACGATTTTTCTTGACATTGTAGCAGAAATCATTTTATTCGTCATGATCAATGAATATGTGGTTTGTTCCAGATGGTTAGAAGGAAAAGTAAGATTTCAGTCATTGAAGATGTTTTCACCGTAGCCCTCATCTAACTTACACGTGGTGCATATTAAAAATAAGCAGAGAAAAAATATGTGAATAAACTGCTGGAAACACTTGGTGTTTTGTATTCAATGAGACCTTCCTGCAACCTGTTCAGCACCCCCATGGGTGGTGGTTAACAGGCCCGTCAGATATTGTTGAAAGAAAGCAATCTATCCATGAATGAAGGCTAAAATGGCAATCTTTTACCCTTTGAGGCACATTTCAGTGGAAAACAAAAGGAAAGAAAAATTGGCTTAGAGGGTCATGGAGCTACCGTGTGACCAAGTCACGAGCACATTAAATCACAGTTGTTTACTGGCCAAAGGCGTCCACTAGACAACTCTATCCCTCGTTGTAGCTCGATTGTGCGGAGGGAGAGCTTTCTTAATATTACTGTGTCGCCCCTAGCCCTTCTCCGGGTAAGGATCTGTCAGCATTTCCATGATAAACTCCTATTCTCAAAGGTTTTTAATTTGACCATAAAAATGTGCCCTAGGCTGACATTGGCTACACAGGGCCTGTACCGGAGTGAAGGTTCTCTCCTTCTCTTCTCAACTCTTCCCCCACACACTCTCGAGAAAAGAACAACAACAACAAAAAATCTGATTTGACCTCTCCTTAATTGTGATTTTAGAATTTTGGAAAGCATCAATATCCAAGATGGTAGACCTAACAGAATTATTCATTTGGATGCAGGTTTGTGTGTTTTTCTAATTTAATGGGTGCATCTGACACATATTGTAGATAACATATCTTTTCTATAATCTGTAAGTCATTAATTTTTAAGCTGCTACATGATACTTTTGTGTGTGTCCAAAGATTTTAAAAAACAAACTTGAAGTGGTCCGTTCATAAGTCCGTCTTTCCCATGTGTCATCTGCCATTTCCATCGGGATTTTGGAGAAAGTACTCCCAAACGGACTCTCACTTTGCATACAGTTTGGAGGGTCAGATAGGGACTTCTTTTGGAGAGATAGATGTTCTTATTAAATCATCATTAATAAGTCATTCTAGTCTGTTGAGGAAAACAAGTGATTAGAAGCACTTCCAAAATTAACATTTGTGTTAAATCAGATATAATGAGAAGAGCAGAAAGTTATACACTTCTTTTTTTTTTGCATAAAGGAATAAATCCATGAAACTTGAGGACACGCTAAACATCTGATAATTGCAAATGTGCTCTAAAGATTGGCTCAATGGTGCTTATACATAAAACAGTAATAAATGGGGTCTCTGGGACCATCAGAAAGAATCTTTGGATTGTATGTAATTACATCCTGGAGAAGGAGGTGCATTTAAGCTAGTCTTTTATTTTTTAATCATCTCAAATATGCAACCATTCATGCAGTGACAGTAAGTGTCGTCAACTGGTGGGAGGCAGGAAATTCAATGGAGAAACTTCGCATGCCTCTGGTTAGAGCGTTTGTTTTGTGATGGTTCAGCTTCAATACTGAGGCTGAGGGTTTTCATTTTTCAGTGAGCAAGCTTCTAGCTGACAGGTGTTTTGATCATGAGGTTTACAATACCTTGCCCATGGAGACAAATGAGAGTTTCACCCCCTACCCCCTAAACCCTCCAGAAGGAAGAGCAATCTGTAAAATTAAATCATACCTGTAAATTTCCTCAACATTCATTTTTGGTCAACTAAATTGAGACCCTTAATGTTGCTTTAATGTAAAATTGTATATTTTTGTCTGTGATATACTTTAATTAATTTTAAGTAAGTCATAGTTCTAAAGCTTCACTGTTATTCCTAAGAAAGTTGAATTTTGGAAGTAATGATAGAGATGCTATAATGTCAATTCATTCCAATCCAATCAAATGTGGCAAGAAAAAGTCCTTGAATAGTTCTCTAGGGACAATTTCTCACTTGCCATTGACATTAATCTTTTGTGTATTCTCAGAAAAAATAAAAAGAAATTGAAACTGGTCCAAGGTTATAGTCATAGCCTCGATAACTTTTATAAAAATTTTATTAGAAAATTAATAATAGCCTTTTTCATTCTAGCTGAAAGAGAATTATTAAAGGATTAGTTGAGTGTGAAATTAAATAGTATTTTGCTCATGCATACTAAAAAGGTGGGCTAGGAACCTGATGCATTTAAAACAAGTTTCTGAAAGGTTTCAATTTGGTGAGAGAAAAAAAATTCAATGTTTCCTTTGAAAATACTGAATTTATCACTTGCTGCATGGATCAGATGGCATAGGTTAATCTTTGATTTTCAGAATCCTAATGAAATAACTTTTGAACGATTTGTATCCATGATTAAAGGTGGAATGAGATCCAATTTTGTCCCCTAATCCTTCAGTTTAAGCTAATAAATGTAGGTTAATGTGGAATGAAATCATTTGTGATATATTATTATGTTCATTTATCAACTGAGCTTTTTTGATGTTGCCTGTTTTTATGTAAAACATGTTCTTAAAGTTAATAAAATAATAGTACTTGGTGTATGAACTACTATATAACACCCTGTTTGCAAGGTCCCCTCCTCGGTGCACTTTGCTGTAATGGAATAAAATTTCATTTCAGTTCAATTCACAATTGACACATTCAGTCCACGAAGGAACAACCCAGCTGTGTTCTTGGGGGGAATTCTCTCTACGCAAGGCTTTAAAAATTAGTCATGCGGTCAGAGTGTAGCTTTCCCACACGTTCTTCACAGCCCAGTGTATATTTCGCGAACATAATTCAAAAACAACTATTCCAAAAATGTCCCTTTCCATATATTACCTTCCTGCCTGGGCCAGTGACTTGGATAAACACAGAGAAATTAAATACCGCTCAGCCCTTTTTTTATCTTTCAACTTATGTGCACAAGCCCTCCAGAGAAGAGTGCTGTTTTATCCACTAACCTGTCATTAGCTGCCATTTTTATAGTCATGTCCTGTTAGGCACTCCACGTACAATATTGACCTTAGAGAAAATTGCAAAATTGTACCATGGAATAAAGTTCTTTCCTATTGAGCTTTTCGAAGCCAGGAGATTGAAAAGTCAGCCAGCAAGAATGACTGCAGGTCCCCTGGTGTCTTATGAAGGTGCCAGAGTATCTCTAAGAGCTTGTAAAATTAGCAGTCACCTTCCCTGCCATCCACAGGCTGCTGCTACAGCTGCTGTTTTCCCCTTTGCTCTACTGTCGTGAAGTCGCCGGTCTTTTCTGGACTCTCTGGCAACCGCTGTGAGACAACAGCTAACGTGATTGTTTCCTGAAAACCATTACCTTGTTTTACGAGGTTGGCAGCTCCGCCAAAAACCTGCCATCGAAAACCTGGGCCTTGACATGGAAACCTCAAGCACAAGTCTGAGACTGAAGATGATAAAACGGCCACATATGGGAGTTGAGAAGGACAGCCCCTCCAAGACCCTGGGCCCTTTGGACAGGTAGCGGGGAAGGTGGTGCTCGTTCTGCACAGAGACAGTGGCCGTGAACATGCAGATAACTGGGTAACAAGAAACAAGTACAGCCGCATCTGGAAACGTTCTGATAACGCCTCTGAAAATGAAGACAGACTTTGCTCTTTCTTAGAAGGTAGCCTGCTCCCCCCAGCTCCAAAAGGAGCACCAGGGGATGATGAGGGAGACACACCCAACCAGCTGGGCTGGCCAAATCCACTCTGGCCGTCACCACCGTGACAGATGTCCCGGCCAGCTTGCCTGCACTTGCAAATCATTCATTCAAATGTTTCTTGAGTGAGTGCCAGTGACATGGAAGGCTCTTCATTGGGGCTTAGAAAGGAAAGGGAGAACGGGTGCATGTGTATTTTCACTATGCATCAGAAGACTTTAAAGAAAATATACCTCAAGCTGGAAGGTCTGCCATGTATTCTGAGACCCTTAGTCCACGGTTCAGATGACATAGGCACAGGCATCTAGCAAGACCTTGCATGGAAGGCAACTTCAAGCCTCTAACTCCAGGATGTGTGTTTACCATCTGCCTGTCGATGGTACATGCACCCCGCCGTACTCTTGGCTTGACTCCTCGACTCTGAGGTAGGAGGCCTCCCAGAGTTTTCTCTGCCATCTGTAATTAGCATGAGGTTTTACCTCTTTTCAAACACTCAGATTGCGCTATGTCCATTAATCCAACAAGCATTAGCAAGGACCTTCTACAAGGGATGCGTGATGAGGCCAAGATAAACAAGACACAGTTCCTGTTTTTAAGAATCTCAATTTAGTGAGAAATCTTTCACCCTGGATGTGCACGGAGTGGGGTGGCTGATTTATCACTCACAGATGGCCGAACACGAGTTCGTCAGGGGCACAGCATCCTACCAGCCCGAGACTGGCTCCCAGCATGTGTAGACCGTGCAGGCTGCCTGCGAGCCAGCCATCAGTCACATGCAAATACATGTGTGGCCCGCTCTATTACAACGATTCAGATGTCACCCTGAGAAAACCCCTAGAAGGAGGAAAAGAAAGAAAAAGAGGGAGAGGGGAGGGAGGGAGAGAAAGAGGAAGGAGAAAATAAAAGCTGATGAGACCTGGGTTGCCATGGTATCATTCGGAAAGTTTAAGAAGGGAATTATCAATGTTTCTCAAAGTGTGTTTCTTAAAACCAGTCTCAGGAGATGCTATGTGGGAACACAAACAGAACACACCTTGACAGGGATTTAGTGTGGCTTTGGGTGTCTTCCACATCATTTGTGCAGGAGCAAAGTCCCCCTACGATAGGAGGAATAAAAATAAGATGCTATCAATGGCACCATCTCTGTGTTCCTGTTGGGAGCAGGGGGCAGGGCATTTCAGAGGATCTGTTCCCCATCCCCAGGGAGGGCATACTCTGAGTCTGCCCTGCTGAAGGGAATTTCGGTCTGGGGATTACCCCCACCCCACTCCTCCGCACCTAGCTCCCTCCCCACCATCTGATGTCCAGGGTGAGTCACCTACTCCCTCCTCCAGCAGCTTTCTATAATGTGTCTGCCCCTCTGCAGGACCCTGGTGCCCCAGGATAAGAACCCCAACCACCGCCTCTCCCATGCTCACAGGCCTACGTGTTAAACAAAGAGTGGTCATCCAGTGGTGATTGGCATTGTGGCAGGGCCACGTGCAGGATGGGGCACTTTGGGATCACTTTGGAAGCTCATTAAATTGCCACAGACCATCAGAGGAGGCTTCCTGGAGAAAGCGACCCTGAGAGAAGGCCCAGGGACAATCAGGAATCAGCCAAAAGAAGGAAGAAGGCATTCCCAGTCAGAACAGTCAACGCAAGCAAACACAGACTTAGGGAACCACGGGCAGGCGGAATGAACACAATACAGCTTGAAGTCAGGCTCAATGAGGCCAGAACAGCCCAGGGAGCTGGCCCAACTTCTAGCTGTGCCCATGTGTCCAGTATGTGGTAGGTAGCTGTAAAAATGAAACAGCAGGATGCAGCATCCCTAGGGCTGGCTAAGGAGGAAGTGGGGCAGGGAGGATGGCTCTTAAGGGAGCATCAGATACCGCAAGCACTTCCGAAATATTGCGGATCCCAACTGCTCCTTCACAGCCATCACAGAGGGCAGCTTCATGGCGTAGACAAAGGAGCCAGGCATATGGTAATCCTTTCCTATAATACACAGACCCTTGCTCACAAAGCTTACCGGCTCATCCACCACTCACAGGGAACAACCACATTCTCTTCTGTGTTGTTCTGGGAAAGAGGGGGAAAAAAAGCAGAGGGAAGCAGAGAGAGAAATCCAGTGACCCTGAAAATAGCTCGCTCACTCCTCCTTCCTGGACCAAACCACATTGTCACCTTTCCCTTACAGCAGGGTGATAATGAATGTTCCACCCAAGAAAGGCTTTGTTATTCCATCAGAATTACCTATTAATTTGCTGGGTTCTTCTGATTAAGTGGTGAACTTGTCAGCCCCGGGTTCATCATTCGGAATATGAAATACCCTTCCGTCCCCAACAGATAAATCAAGGCCCAAACCAACCCAGGCAGTTTCAATTTCCTCTCTTGATACGGTCCCCTCGGTTTCTACCATTGGGGCGTTCCGTTTTCTTAAGAACATTTTCTAAGTCCTTTCCTATCTGGTTGAGCAAACCATTTTTTGCTTTATAAAAATCTCCTATTGTTTCTACTTACTTTACAGAGGAAGGTAACAGGTCACCCTGATTTCTTAAATTAGAAGATGGAACATTTCCTGCCGAAAATTTGAAGGGAAGCCTCATTCTAACAGAAGCACCCACTGTTTTGGTCGAGTGCTTCTCCCACCTCGTGATTTTGTGGGTTCTCTGAAATGCCCACACCTTGCCTTGCTTTTCTCCAAAAATGTTTCAGACAGGTTCGTGTGACTTAAACCTGCTGCCTCTCTGGGCTTGTTCAAGACAGAGCCTCTCTCTCTCTCTTTGATTTGCATCCAGAAGGCCTGCTGACAGGCCTGGTGGCTCACACCTGTAATCCCAGCACTTTGGGAGGTGGAAGCCAGAGGATTTCCTGAGCCCAGGGGTTCGAGACCTGCCTGGGCAACTTGGCGAGACCTCATCTCTACAATAAATCAAAAAATTAGCCGGGCGTGGTAGCACACGCCTGTAGTTTCAGCTACTTGGAAGGCTGAGGTGGAAGGATTGCCTGAGCCCAGCAGGCCGAGGCTGCAGTGGCCGTGAGTATGCCACTGCACTCAGTTTGGACAACAGTGTGAAATTTCAACTCAAAAAAAAAAAAAAAGGAAAAGTTGGCTGAGAATCCACCCAGGGGAGGGAAGCAGGGAGCACCCTATGTAACCCGAGTTTGCAGGATACCCCGAGATGTGCTCAGAAAAGTAAAAAAGAGCTTAGATCCCTGGGCTGGATGATCAAGCTGCCAGGACAGTGTCACTGCTGGACTTTATGTGTCTTCACTATCAGCAGGTCAGATCAGAGCTTCTTGGCCCCTCCTAAAACCAGAGTCCAGTGGGCAGCGGGTGCCCCTGGGCCTAAGTGAGCACCCGCATTAGTCACACTCTGAAGACTGCCCAGCGTGGCTCTGTCCCCAACCTTGCATCAGGGCTTGCGCTATTGGATAGGAACTTTCCAGACAAATGAGAGGCCAGGGTCTCACAAGGCGAAGCCAGGCCTCTACTGCCAGCCCTTGGCCCCTGCCCCCTCCCAGCACCCAATTCCACTCACCGGTGTTTTAGTGAAGACATCATATTATAAACCACTGGCAGCCAAGTTCAGTCCCCGGCTTAGGCCAACTCTCCTCCCGAGAGGCACATCCACTGCCTGAAAACCATGTGATTTCTCCATAAACAGAGTCTCACTGCTTCTTAATGTGGTCCTAAATCCAGGCTAGCCTCTGGGCAAACTCTGGCCTCAGCCTCCACCGTGCTTCTTAAAGTCTTGGAGACTTGGGAATCATTCCCAAGGTTAGCTCTCACGGGAGAGACCACGAGCCCCTATTAGGGGACCAGGCATCACCTCGAGGAACAGGAGCCCTGTTGTGAGGAGACAGCTGCCGTTCACTGTCCTGCAGGCCACGTATATGCCGAGAGAAGT